GGATGGGCCCCCGGCCTTCCTGTGACGGGGATGGGCAGCCAGGGATGGGGATGGGCACCCTGGGATGGGGATGGGCACCCGGCATCTCTGTGATGGGAATGGGCACCCAGGGATAGGGATGGGCACCCTGGGACGGGGATGGGCACCTGGCACTCCTGTGATGGGAATGGGCACCCAGGGATGGGCACCTGGCATCCCTGTGATGGGAATGGGCACCCAAGGATGGGGACGGGCACCCAGGGATGGGGATGGGCACCCGGCATCCCTGTGATGGGAAGGGGCACCCAGGGATGGGGATGGGGCCCCGGCCTCCCTGGGAGGCATCCCTGTGATAGGAATGGGCACCCAGGGATGGGGATGGGCACCCGGCATCCCTGGGATGGGAATGGGCACCCAGGAATGGGCACCCAGTACCCTCCCATCGCCCCCCCACCCCCTTAAAACCAGAGAGATGACGGCAGAGAAGCCGGTGCCTCCCAGTGCGATTTGGGTTCAAATCCTGGAAATTGGGTTAAAACTCTTTAAATGGGGTTAAAATCCTTGAAATTGGGTTCAAAACCTTGAAATTGCGTTTAAATCCTTGAAATTGGGTTAAAATCCTTGAAATGGGGTTAAAATCCTTTAAATGGGGTTAAAATCCTTTAAAACAGGGGTGGGGTGGAGATTTACGCACAGGGAAAATGTAATTTCGGTTCAAACTCAAAAAAAAATAAAAATAATGATAATAAAAATTAAAACCAGAAGAGGATTTAGGCACGGCAAAACACTTTGGTGGAAAAGCTGCTTTTTCCCATCGATTTGGGACAAGGTGGTAAAAAAAAGTCACTTTGTTTTCAAGGAAATTTAAAAAGGGTGGGGGGAGGAGGAAGGGGAAATCCCGCAGAAATTTGGAAATTCATAAAACCCCCCGAAAATTTGGGATGAGTTTAGTGCTTGACAGCAAAACCCTGCGAATTAAAACCTGGAGGGGTTAAAAAAAACTCAAACCCCACAACGTTTTAGGGCGAAATGTGGGATTTTGAAAGTCTGAGTTTAGCGATTTTAAATTCATTACTAAAAAAAAAAAAAACCCCACAAAAAACGAGGGAGGCGGGAAATTCCTCATCCTCCCCCATTTCCTGCCGGGCCCGGGATTTACCGGCGGTGGGTTTTGGGTGGAAAAGGGATGGATTTGGGAGGAAAAGGGATGGATTTGGGAGGAAAAGCGGCAATTTTGGGTGGAAAAAGAACCGGTTTGGGTCTAAACGCGTCGGGGACGGAGCCGCGCGGCAGCGCATCCCCAAAGCCGCGTGGGGGAGTCCCGGCGGAACAAAAGACAAGCGCCGTTTTGAGGCAAAAAGTGCTGTTTTCGGGCAAAAAGGGCCGTTTCGAGGCCGAAAGGGCCGTTTTGAGGCCGAAAGGGCCGATTTGAGGCAAAAAAGAGGCGGTTCGGTTCGGACCGGCTCTTTC